ACTAAATGTGTTAGCGTTTATTCAGTCTTGATAAGAGATTGTAATAATAATTACGTGGGGTGTGTGATAGACTTACCTCCACGTGGTGCACCCTGGGCAACGTATACTCATGCGGCAAAAAAGTCTATCAACTGGCAGTTGACTTCTGACTTCAAACTACCATCACCTCACTTTATGTCATATTCGACTACTACCACAGTACCCAAATCATCTTTTTCTACCTTTGTGTCTGTCTCTTTTACATCACTGAAACACTGTTCTGTTCCCCCCAACCAACTCGACTTTTTTTCACTTTGGTGTTCCATCCCCTCTGTGGAGCCTGAAGTCAACCAAAGGGCTAATGATAACTGTCAAAACGCCTGCCATTTGATATAAATAAATAATAATTACGTTGTACAATTAAGAGGTACATGACTATCATTGGAGGACTTCCGCTTTGCTCCTTGCATTTTTGTTTCTTTGTAATCTTTTTGATCACTCGCTTGAAACGTCGCCTTCATCCAGATTATTGTTTGCAAATGCGAAGTTTTGTACCTATTTACGCTTTCAGATTTTACTTAATCAGTAGTTTTCTGCGACAGATCCAAAAGTTTCAAGGGTTTTAATTTTGGTTCATTATGTCCCTGCTTGAGCTCATCTCCGCGATATTCAGATGTCATTGACCAATTTATTGAATCAAGTAGTTAGTTGTATCTTGGTTCAATTTTCTCTTATAGTAGCCGAATCGGTTTTTTACGTAGTAACTGAAGATACACCTTCGTATTCTTATAGTTTAGTTAACACTTTCTGCTCAATTAAAAGAAGTATATTGGCGTTAGTAATCAAAACCAGTTAGCGAAGTGATGAGATGTGATTAAGAATAATTTTGACAAAACTCTTATTTTTTGTCGAAAACGCAAACAACATATGAATGTTTATTGATTTTCACATTTTGGAGGTTGGGGTTTGAGGTTTTGATTATTTGGAAGTGGATCAACGAAATATGAATGATATCAGAAAACAGGCATATTTTTGCCTTACGAATGCGCTTGAGCAAATTACTGTTGGTTAGAAAGTAATGTAGATAAGTAGACCTTTGTGACTTTATTTATAACTATTTTTTTGTTCGTCTTAGGAACGCGAAGCACATAATTAATACCACAGGCTATCAAAGCCTCTGCGACCGTCGACCAGATATACTGAGTTTTCTCTTCCGCCAAATGGCATGTCGCAAGAAAAAAGGAAACAATACTCCTCTAATTGACCCACAATCAGCACCCCCATCCATCATCCCATGTCCTCGGGCTTTTACATTCGGTGACGGCACTTTCTCTAGCAATTCTATGCTCACAATGGCCTCAGGTCTTTCATCAAACAATGGGGTACCAAAACAGCAGCAGCAGCAAAATCACTTCTCACCAATAGCGTCATTTTCATTATCTTTGCAAACCTCATCTACTAATTCTGAGTTATCAGCAGAAAATCACAATTTTTGTACAGATCATTCCTAGGCATTCCGCATATTATCTATGTTCATCTATTGATATCATTGTTGTTGGGAAAGTGATAATCCCCAACGCATTGACGCTTCATTTTGCTCTCGAAATATACATATGCTTGTAAAGTTTCTACGGATAATTTATTATTACAATAGTTCGAGATTAATCGTTAAAGGAAAAAGAAAATTTGGTAAAACACGCCTATGAAAATTAAAAGTTCAAGGAGCTCTCATTTGTGCTTTGACTGTTTTACTTTAAAACAGGGAGAAGGAGCTGGATGTGCATTGAATGAAAGAGGAGGAGGTGCCGTTTATCCACTTGTCATCTTAGGTGGATCAGATCATGCTTGCAAATGGGTGGTTGATTGAGGTCATACGAGCCACCAACATACTAGGCATAGAGTTACATTTACGATTGATAAAATCTGTTTGAAATTTAGTACATATAATTGTGACTGAATAAATATTATGCAGATTGGCAAATTGGGTCATTTCAATTAAAGGGTAATAAAAATTCGTTAGTGGTTCTTCGGAATGGATTCTATAGCGGAAAAAGGCATGATTCCATTCTGGAAAAGTTTTATGAAAAAAATAAAAACTATTTAAAAAGTGTATGAGTATATAACAGATATAAGTTTTTAATCACCATGGATAAGTGGCAAATATAATTGATATGTGAAATCTACATACTGAATTATATTATTAAAATTGCTTAAAGTATTTCAATTAAATTGCGATAGGCTCAATTAACTGTGCAAGAGGAAATCGGATGCTGGACTAAATAAGGAATATTACAGAATTATATAAGGAAAGAAAGAGTTAATTTCAGTGAGCTAATGCAAAAGTTCTTTGGGAATGAACAAGAATTTTGTAGAAGCTGTAGAGATAGATAACAGACAAGTCATAATAAGCATTAAATCATGAGATAAATTAGAACGTCGCATTATCGTTAATAAATCATCAAAGGAAAATGATAAAATTTTTGTAGGATATCCTAATTGTTTGCCTATTCAAAGATTTTTACAATAACAATGGAATAAACCATTTTGATTAAATTTCAAATTTTGAATAATAGAAAGTGTCAAATTAGTCGAAACGAGGGTTATAATATTAGATATCATGGAGTTTACGGTCTGTAAACAAATCAAATTTTGAACTTAAATAGTTTATAATATTAATGAAAATAATCGTATCATAATGCGTAATGTAATTTGATTTATTGTTTATGATATTTAACTTTTGGTCTTTGACCGATAGTCCTTAATATTGTTTAACCATACCAAAATAAGCAATGAAAATGCGCGCAACCTAAGAACGCATAAAAATGAGCTGTTTTCCATATTCTTCTAAGGATTTAAAGAACGATGGATATAGAAAGCCCTTTGTCAAGGTAAGTTTTCTGAATTACATGTCATTATATGAATATTTGTAAAAGAGAATATTGCGTTGTGTCTTCATTGCATTTAAGAAATCCTCTTTGGATGCAGCTCGGATTGGTTTTTTATATTCTTTTTTCAGTCGTGGGATGCCTATGCAAATGATGAAAATTCTTATACGTATGAATCTCCTGTCTTGGATCCAGCCAATCGAACACCAGCTCCACCTCTTCGAACTACTAGCACGGTTTCAAGTATTAGCGCTTCAACTTCTGGAGTGGGACACGTATACGATGCAACCGATGCTGTACTTTCAGGTCCCTTTTCCAAACCCCTTCCACCCACACCTGGGAGTGAAAAACGGGAAAGACGAGCCAAGAAAGGAAAACAGCCGTCTTGCGGCAGTCTTGCTCCACCTCCCCCTTTACCAAATATCTCATTTCCCATGAAAGTTCACCATGAAGTTCACGTCACCTTCGATCCAATGAGTGGGGAATTTACAGTATGTTCTTAAGAAGTGATAGCTTCACTTATTTGATTTTATTCAATTTTTTTTCAATTGCTATATTTTTCTTCAAATCTTTTTTGAAGTTGATTTACTAATACTGTCATTTTGATTTTGCTATTTTTTAGTCTGATAAGTATATAATTGCCAAACATCTTTTTCTCTCTTACTTAATTTTGTACATCAACCTTAGATGATTCAAAATCACGTTTCCTCTACTTAGGTTAGGCTCCTTAATTTCTTGCATATTCATTGACCTGCGTGTCCTTTTCTGAACCCTGGTAATAATTGTCTTTTAAACCATTTTGACTTGTGCTTCAGGTTAATTTGGCTGCTTTTGTGGTTATCTTATTTCTTTAAAATTCATTAGAGATGTATGGTTGATTAATTGTAAATATATTTTACAGTTCGTGAAACGAATTTGATTTCCATCTTTTCCTCATCTTTCTTTACAAACTTCTGGATATGCTATTGCTTATTTAAGCGAATTTTTCATGAACACGGGGATTTAGATTTAAATTGGGCTAATATCTGGGATAAATTTTGTTTTTTTGAAGGGTTGGTTAATTTATATGTGACCATTAATCAATTGTGCAGTTCTATTGTTTTCTAAAACATGGTCACCATAAAACAGTAGTTCCACTTTTGCAATGTTTATTAGAATCAAGTTTACAACCGAAGTGATTTGTTTTTCAAAGAGTTTTCCTAAGTCTCTTAAATATTTTTTGCTTTTTCTGTTCAAACTCCTTATTTATTGTCTCAAAATCTACTCTGACGATAGGAAAATAGTTTATTTTGTATTCAAAAAATATGTACAGGCTCTTCCTTTCCTTTTGACTAACACCTCAATAGTTCCTCAAAGAAGGGAGTGGGGGGGGGGATGGCTTACTTTCAATTCATAAGAACGATATTTTGATAGTTTAGCAGCTTTCATTTAGAAAACTCATGATTAACATAAATAGGATGTTTGAAGTCGTAATTGGCTATGCTTGTGAGTCTGTTTAAAAACTTTACATCCTTTTTTGCGAGCAATAAGAGTCCAACATTCTGCTACCTGGATTACTGAATGGGCATCCACGTACATGGAATTCTTGACTTCTAACTTGAAAAGACTTCGATTTGAATGAAAATTGTTGGTTCTATTCCCAATCTCGTTTCTGAAAGCCCTTACGGTACTCAATCTGTGTAGAAGTGGGCCATCCTGAAGAAAACCCCCATTCTGTTGCCCCTCTTGATCACCCACATCACTTGTTTACACCAATTGTCCTTGAATTACGTGGTCTCTACTTCACCAGATATACTACTGTACTCGAAGATGGGAAACAATTTCAGTTGCTCTCTAACGCAGTTATATTTCCAAAAAGGGGCTTGTAATTTTCCACGAAATTTTTTTACCATTTTTCACGATCAATTAGAAATGGTTAATATTTCGTGAATTATTTATCTTATAATAAAATCTCCTTTATGGAGGCAAATCCCTTCATTCATATTTAAACACAAAAATATTAAATGAGAGGGTAATAATGAGGTATTCTCACCCTCAGTATGAACCACTAAACCTCACTTACCTGATTCGTATTTCTTTGTACTAAATTGTTGCCAATTTCGTAACCCCCCTTCCTCCTCTTTCTTGCCTCTTTCTTCATTATGTGGATCAAAAAGACTAAACAAAACATGCTAATTATATCTAATTAACTTTATTTCGGCTTCTAGTTATCTGCATGTCATGAATGCCATTTTAAAATGCGCCACTAATTGGTGACAGTTGCATAATGTGTCTACCTTTAGTGGCATCCGTCTTTAAGCAAACAAACAATTTAATTTAAACCGTCGAGGAACTCAGTGCTACTCAGGATACTTTTAGTAACCTAGACTACTTTCAATTTCTGTTCAGTTTTGAAAATTTCCTGCTAAACAATTGCAATAATGATATTCTATAAATAATAGGCTGTGGTTCTGAGACTATCTTATGAATGCCAAGTCAATGTCGATAATAAGTAATCATGAATATATCGCTGAGTACTGTTAAATCATCTCGATATAGTTGGCGCTGCCTATTACCCAATTAGCGCGCATTCAGTGAACTGATTCTGAGGGGTGTTGGAGGAAGTGGTACGATTCTCCCCTTCGTCGGTGTCGAATTGGCCTCCGGATTTCTGCCATTAGTTCAATTTACATTGTGGCACAGCCTGAGTGGAATGGTCAACCGAACTAATTGAGTCTGAAAATATAGAAGGTGGGAGGGAATTGGGGTATCTCACCAGGTGTGTTCTATGCTACCACTTTCCTAGAAGGGCTTGGATATTTTTATTATTATTCCCGTTTCCCCAATTAGACTGTCAGAAACAGGTCGTTGATGAGTTAATGAATTCTATTCATAGTAAGTGTCACTTCAAATAGCTGCCATGTGGTCTGTGCTTGTTGATCTTGTTTACACTGTCCAGTATGTAATCACGCGATCAAAGCTTGTTGACATGACCCCCTGCATCGACTACCTCCAGCTCCAAATAAATATTTCCTCACCGGACCATGCAGTGGTTGCAAGGTCATGGAGAAAGGATAGTGCTTTATTATTATTATTATTATTCCCCAAGAAAATGGTAAAAAACTAAAGTGTACAAGTTTCCATCATTTATATCAAATGGCAGGCGTTCTGATAGTTATCATTAGCCCTTTAGTTGACTTCAGGCTTCATAGAGGGGGAGGAACATTAAAGTGGAAAAAAGTCGAGAGGGGGGGGGGAACAGAAGAGTGCTTCAAAGACGAAGGTAGAAAAAAGGTGAGGTGAGTACTGTGAAAGTAGTCGAATATGGCATACAGTGGGATCATGGCAGTTTGAAGTGAGAAGTCAACTGCCCATTGATAGACTTTTTTGGCGTATGAGTATACGTTGCCCAGGATGCACCACGTGGAAGTAAGTCTATCGCACACCCCAGTTTCCATCATAGCGAATTGATAAAATAGTCGAGCCAGATATAGGGTCAACAAGGAGTACATAGTGAAGTGGGAAAGCCAATAGTCCTACTTAATAATTATGACGGTTTTGTGGTGGCATGTATACCCATCCCAGACGTTGGAGTATTTTGAAATATTGTGGTTAATTTGCACTTGACCTAATCCTCCTCTCATTGTCTCCTTCGCTTGCTTCGCGTAGGGCATGCCGGCGGAGTGGGCTGCAATGCTTCGCAAGGCTGGTATCTCCGTTCGGGAGCAGCAACAGCACATGGAATTACTTCGAAATGCCCTTGAAATCTGCACCATTGACAAATCCACTGGCACTGTCAAGTACATGAATGATCTCTCCAGCAGTACAAGTAAGTCTCTCTTATTTACTCAACATAGCATTTATTTCAATTGCCTATCATATTTCCTACCATTGAGTATTATTAGACTATTAATAATAGGAGTGTTTAGAGGTCATTTGAGGGAAGAAACGATCCCAAGAAAGTGCTACTATTGGCTTGAGATCTCTGTCCCCCCCCCCTCTTTCGTTCACTCCTGAATTCGAATATAACTTTTATTAGTATCACATTGCTGACTAATTTAATACTGATCAATAAAGAAATTATAATTGGCTCTGTACAAAATGATCTCTGAATAAGCGTTTCCTTACTCTTAGAGGTCTTGGAAATTATGCATTTAAACCAAATGTACGTTGTTGATGTATAGCAATTCTCTCTTTTGCAGAAATCAGCTCGAGTTCCATCAGTACACTTTGGTTAGAATTAAGCAACAGAAATTATTGAATTAGATATTCCTGATTTGCATCTCTGTTCAGGAAGAATGACATTGACGGTCAACATCTTTATTTACCATCCTTCGATTTGAATTTTACTCCACAGAGGACTTTGGCCGCTTTCCTCGAATTTAGAATTATTTAAGTCATTCTTGACTCTTGCCAACTTGCTCTAATGAATGACATCGGCACTTATGACCGGTGGGCGTTCTCGATCGCTAGATATTGATTGGCAACTGCTCGCGGCTGGTTCTTTTACCTTTTCTTTTTCCAACACTTCAAAGCCAATTGAAATTTGTGGGTTAAAAGAGGAAAGTGTGCACTTGCAACTTGCTAACTTTGCCATATTTCAGTCCTATTATTTTTAAAAGTACACAAAACTGTACGATGGGGGTAAACTGAGAGCTGTAGTTAACACAAAGAACAGAAGCTGATTAGAAATCCAAAGTCAGCGGGTCATTTTCCATAATTTATTTCCCTTTATCTCATCTTTTCTTCGGTGTGATCGTTGCATGATAAAATTACCCCGATGAAGGTATTTAGGCCTTTTACTTCTGTATACTGTTAAATCAATTGTAATAAATGTCAAATATTCCGAATTCCTGAAGGTTAAATCGACCTATAACAGCATATTTGACAGCTAGTAATATGATTGGAAAGTCACAAAAGAATTGAAATGAGAATATCGGGATTTTTGCTTTATTTCAATTGGTGATTTGTTAATTTTCCTATTTTCTCGTTTGGGATATAATTGACTTTACTCCAAGGCTAATTTTTCGTGATCGATTCACGAGGTTCTTGATCAGTTCATGCCAACGATATTATGGGCTGGATGATCCATTTATTTAATTATATGGTGGATCACCACAAGTTAGTTTATTTGTACTTCCTTTCTGCCAATTATAAGTAGAGAAGACTGGGCAAAGCCTTCTAGACAGCACAGTTCAATAGAATTCGTGCAGGGGCGAAAAAGTGCATCTTCAGGCTCTTGAATGAGTTCTTGTTTGTCATGTTCAGAGCTTATTAATCAATTGATTTAATTGTGAATTTTTGGTCCTGCTAACTGAATGTATTGATTTCTCTTAATGCCTAAGGTATCTAGTTTGTACTTGTTAAAGACTTTTCACATAACAAATCGCATAGGTTACCCACTTGTGGTGGGATTCTTTCATGTTTGCTAAGTTGCCGAAAATGTCTCAAATAGTTGCGACTTCAAGTATTACTTCGCCTGAAGAAGCCTCATTTTTAACTCATTTAAAGAAATGAGTAGGAGAAATTTCTCATTTGTCTCTCATTTCCAAATATTTATTCCCTCATATTATTTACTTTATGGAGGTGAATTTTCTCACCTGACGAAAAGACAATATTGAATTTGGTTTCTAATGAGCTGTGCTATTAGTAGATTTTTTTAAATTGTATTTTAATAAATATTGAAGTGGAGTAACTTATTTGAATAAAAAGGGAATCATTTTCATGGGAAAATCGGACATTTATTGTGAAATTACAGTCATCTAAAGTGGTTGAAGAGTCCTCTATTGTTGAGTAACCGTCGTTCCCAGTTTTGGAAATCATTACGATCGCTAAAATCTTATATATATATATATATATATATATATTTTGATGGAGGATAAATTTGGTAATTTTGTATCCCTCTTTCAATGCCCAGGTTCCTTGAAGTCAAGTGGACTTCGATGCCCATATTGGAGAGAAAAGAGCATTTTGGGAGAGGGGCTAATTAGGGCATGACCTTCGAGACTCTTATTCCCCCTCCCTCTCTCCCTCTCAGGGCTACAGCTACCCAGACTCAACGGTGAGAAAGAGGAACAAGTTAGCTCAAGCGACCATATTTATTAACAAAAGAATAATAACAAATCCACTTAAATAGACTTGAAGTAGGCAATGAATATTTAGTCAGTAGTTGTAGCTACGGCAGCTCCATAGGTGGCTGTACGCTTCCAAGTGTGATTGAGGCATTCCGATAGAATCGATAATCCAGCGCGTTAGATATGGAAATGGCGAATTTTTCACTCGAGTGTAACGAAAGCTTTCGATTGTAGGTCTTAAGAGTAGGACATTTTACTTTTTTACCTGAGTTCAATAGACTTAATCTAGAGCCTATTTAAGGGTCAATAGAAGCAAATATAACTGATTTTAATAAAAAACGTGACTGTTTCTGTTATCTTTATAAGCCTTTGATCATTGGATGTTTGTTCATTTTCTCCATTTAATATCAAGGTTGTAAAAGCAATTCACCTATATTTGAGAAGTTTGTTGACCTTCTTTATTTTTTATTCAGGTCCATCAATAACCCCCACTCGATTTGAGAACGGCGGGGAAGCAATGCAAGGAGTTGAAGTGGGAACTGGCGGGGTCCTCTCTCATCACCGTAGAAGTGCTGCTACTGCGAGCAGTGGTCGTGGAAGCAGCGAGGATGGCAGCAGCGCTGGATATGCTGGAGTAGTGGACGATCGTCTCTTCAAGCATCCCATCCCTCAGGTCAATGGTTGTGCTCCTCTCAGTCGAATGGTATGTGTCGCAAGCGCAAACTGTCTTAATCTAACGTTGTCTCACCCTGTTCTATTTTGATTCAATTTTATACTAATGTCTAGTTACTTTCCCCTCGAAGTCCCCTGTGTCATAAATCATAGTCGATGTCACTAATCATCATGTTTTAATAGTCCACTTTGCAAATTCAATCGTTGCAGCTCCCGGTACTAATTAGTATTCACCTTGAGCAAATACCACTTATAAGCACTGGAGATTGTGAATAGAAATTCGATCAAAGATCCAGGTAACGAATCAGTCAATTCGACGAGTGAACTTGTGACCATGATTCTGGACATTTTTGGTCTCTACCTTCTGATTATTTTTAGAGACGTTCGATTAACCAACTATTGGAAATGGCGATCCTTGATACTAGGGGATGTCAATGTACGAGAAGTAGCGTGTGATTTTTCACGTAGAATTGAACATTAAATTTTGGATCTTCAATGCAGCCTTTTGCGTTTAAACTTGTGACTCACCGGATTTTTCCACTTTTGCTTTTATCTCTGAATTCCAACCTTCAAAATCTACCCCATCTATTTGTGAGTGATAGTCAAAGTCTACGGTCTGATCCGTTGATCTGATCGATTTAAGAGGTTGATTCTGCAGTTGGCAAAGAGTTAGGGAGTATTTAGTCTGCTTGTTTCTTGAACGTAACAGAGCTCACTAGAATCCATTGCTATTAAAATGTTTAATTGCATCAATACTATGAAAGATTTGAAGGTCGTCTGAGCATTCACTTTAGAGCAGTTCACACGGAGGGTATTGAGAGTTTTTTATCCTCTTGGCCTATTAATAGTCAGTGTATTCACCTTATAGGTAATTTAAAGAAGTATCCAAAGGGATAAATTCGGAGTAATTTCATTTGGCTATTTTAATCAATCGATATCCTCAAGGAACTTAGGGTGTAGCAGCACCGAATTGTCATTGATTAATCCTTTGAATTTTTCTTGTCTGCTAAAATTTAATTCTTTTCATACTGTGAATGCAAAAATCGTTTTTTTGTGAATTAAAACTTGAAATAGCTTCAATTGGCTAAACTTAGGTTGTTTCGTAACCCATTTTTTGAATTTATCCTTTTTTTTGTGTGCCATTTTGTGACAAACGAATCTTGTCACATTGACCTGATATACTCTGATCCCCAAAATCGTTTGAAGACCATGTTCTCTCTCTCAATTTTCCATATTACATCACATCCCTTACCATGATTCACTACAAACAGGAAAAACCACATGTACGAATCACTCTCTTCCTCTATATGCACCTGTGTCTCAATGTCTCTTAACAGAGTGATGATTTATGTTTTAGGCTAAATTCAAATTTTCTAGGCAATTCTTAAAATTGTTTGTGGGAAGCACTAAATGATCCCTCGGACAAACAGGAAAAATGGCCAATCATTTTTGCCTTCTTTCATGCACCCTTAAAATGGAAATCCAACTCTTTTTTTATGGCTCTTCAATTAATGTACGCATCCAAATTCCCATGGGTGGTCGTTTCATTCAAGGAAATTTGGATCACCTCTAAAGCAATTTACCTCTCTTTGGCCTAATCTGCGTAAATGGTGCTGCAAAATCTGGAGGCAACATTTTGCATTCGTTCAAATCAACTCCCCTAAACTCTACAAATCCACAAACAGAAAATTCCAGGAGGATTGTGATAACATCTGCCCATTATTTGCGCATTTTTTTAAATAGTTGTGGTGATTGTCTGTCAGAAGAATGAAATTAATGCACTCCTTTGCTCATTTGTCTAGAATTAGGTTAGACGAATCCCTTGAACACTGTGACCACCATTGACACCAATAAATTTTGTTAAGGGAAAATGTTTTTTAACAATCCATAACTGTTTGTGAGGTTTGGGTGAACTTTTTAGCAATAAAATATGAGTATGCGCTCGTACTTGAACTGAGTGCAGATCAGGTAAATGATGTGTATTTTTAATTAATGAAGTACTTGTGCTTTGTAGAGAATGATTGGCTTATTGGTTGGCCAATAATGGTGCGCTGAGATGATTTCAGCCTATAGCTTTTTAATCGATGTGAATATATGCCTTATTGCCCAAAACCATTTAAAGGGGGTACTTTTATCTTAACAGCTCTTCGCTCTATACTTACTAAGTACTTAAATTTGCCACATTTCCAACTCCTGTTCAAGAATAAAATTGGCCTATTGTCATTTTCTTTCCCAAGTGATTGCCATTCCAATAGAAAACCCGTACTTCCACTTTTCTTAGAACCAGAAAAGGGAGGCATTAAATTACAATAACATTATACACTTTCTTTAAATATCCAATTTTTTAAAAGAGAATCGAATCGATATATTGGCAGCAAATTAATCAAATTTGGCTGCTTTTTTGCTGTTATCCAATTGGTAATAAATTTTATGAAAGATGTGAATGGAACTTAATTTTTACTGACTGAGGATGTTCCATTTTGAACAATCATCTTGAGCTGAGAAAAATCGTCCTGGAGCTTCAGTGATTGAGAAGTGGGTTAATAAAAATCAAATAATTTTTTGGTACCTTGAGTAGAGTTCATAAAACTCTTGTGGATGGCGTTCATTTCTCCGATATTCTATTACCACTCTTCCATACTCCTTCCGGGTAATGAAATAGCATCGTCACAATTTTCTGGCTAAGCCAAGTTTTTTTAATTGTTATACAAGTAGCGTTAAAAAATGAATTCTGTATTCCATCACTCATCTACTAATTATAATAATTTGCACGGTTTTTGGCCAATTTTAATCAAGGAAGGGTCTCTATTTTTACTTGGCTACCACCACGCCATTTGTTCAAAGTTTGTCCAATTCTTTTTTTCGTGCAGATTTGTGGCAACAATGTCCAATATGTACCCGATGTACCGAAAAAAACGCCCGCAAAAATGCGCGTGGGAATAGAAGGCTTATTATGTGGATTTAGATAAACAGAATACTTCTGCCACGAGCTTGTAGAAATAAAACAAACGCTTAAAAGACATCATCTAGGATTTTGGAGTGTTAACATAATTTGTGCAAACTGTGCCTATTGTTCTATTGCATCAAAAACTCATTTGAAATCTATGGAGGCTTCTGTTTGTGGAAGTTCAATCGAAGCAAGTGATCAACGCTGTACAGAATTTAACTCAGAGCATAAATTGATAAGATGGGAATTAGACAGTAGTTAGTCATTAATTGGAAGTCTGGTTTACTTCAATTCTCTCGTGCATCCTCGAGATTTATGTTGACAATTATAGCAGCTTTAATTATTCGTCAATTATCAATTCAACGCATTACGTGCCACCCATTAACTACAATTTAAATCACATGATTTAATTAAGAATCGTCTTTCAGATGTAACGCTCCGCCTTGAAATTAGATGCCACAATTTTGATGCCAAAACCTGCTTTTTCCTTCTCCTCTTTTATCACGTTTAGTCATTTCGAGTTGATCTAGGCACGTGTCTTCTCATTTCTCTTTGGCTTACATTCTCACGAAAATTTGCCATTGAAGAACACCGCTATTTCTCTCATGGGGGTCTGTGATTTAAAATTTATCGTGCATTAATTGAAGTTGTCGCTTCAGGTTGGTGTCACAGCAGTTTGGTGATGATTAAACTCTTTCAATTTCTGTTCAAAGGCTAGTGTGTCTGAACTAACTGAATGGTAAAATTTATTTATTTATATAAAATGGCAGGCGTTTTGATAGTTATCATTAACCCTAAAGTTGACTTCAGGCTTCACAGAGGGGAAGGAACATCAATGTGAAAAAAGTCGAGGGGG